GTTCCGTCTACATCCTGCGTGAGCCAGAGCGACACCCGGAAGGTGAGCAAAGGGCAGTTTTTCGCGCTAGCGGCTTGGCAGGGCGAGGGTAAACTTGCTGGAAGCAAGGGTATTTGTTCACATGGTATGGAACTCAAAGTTGCAACTTAGAAGATCGTTACTGGGTATTATTACTATAATCACTCGCTATCTTTTATACTGTTCCAGACAGGGCTCTCTCGTTCGTTTCATGCCGCTAACGCCGCGCAATGCTATGCGAAATCCAAGATCATCGCAACTGGAGATCATGATCGTCGTTCACCCGTAACTTCGTTGCCTCGCGCTCAATACTCAGTCCCGTCATCTAAGCGTAATCTTTCATCATGGTTCCCTCTGGGCTTTCGCCACCGCCTTCGTCTTCTTCACGATGAAGACACCAACTTCCACACCCTTCGTGGGCTCACCGTTATGGTAGTCCCGTTCCGATACGCCCTCGAGGACAGCCTGGATCAGAGTTGCAGCGCTCATCTCGGAGCTTGGCAGCTTTTTCGACTTGCTGAAGTACTTGGTGATTATCTCCCGTATACGGGGCTTCTCTTGCTTGATCCACCAATCGTCCGCCCAAGCTGACCGTTGCATCAGAATCTCCTCTTTTGCGGCGTGGATGACTTCATAGTTTGCTCTTCTCTCATTGTTGTGTCGTTCACCCATTGCTCCACAGAACTTCCGGACTTGCGCCTCCAAGTGGTTGTACTCGTCCAGGTAATTGACTGAACTCATTTGGCCCAGGTTCCTTCCTAGCTCCGAGTGAAGATCGTGGACTACCGTTACTGTGCGTAAGAGTGGGTCGAGGATTGGTCCGAGGTACTGCTGCGTAAAGGTCCTCGCACCTGTCCTGGTCGGATAGATGAATAGAAGGACGCCGTCATCGCTAGAAAGCTCGATTAGGCGATCGTACAGCAACGATCTACCCCGAAACGTGAACATCTCAGCGAACTCATTAGTATTAGTGGGCGGAATGTATCGCTCTACAATCGAAACATTGATGCTCCCCGGTGGCACGACGGGTCGAGGCGATGGGGGCAGGAGTTTCGAATCGAGTTGATAGTCTGGAATAGCGACCGCGCTGTCAAAGACTTTGCTGGTAAAGTACGAATCTCCTCCGACAGCAGGACCAGGCGTCGATGGAGGAGACTTTGGCAGATCCATGAGCGTGTAACGACCAGGAAGGGCGTGGAATACATTGATCCACGAGGTTTGCGTTGACGATCTGTCATGGATAGAAGCGATGACTTGGCCGAAGATGTGGCCTGATGTTGACGGACAAGGCAAGGCGTGGGACAGAATCTTGACTGAATCCAACTCCAGACATCCAGATTCGTTTACTAAGCTCATTAGTACACGGAACATGCGTCACTCGGGTGCGGAAGTACTCACTGATAGTGCTTTTTGCCTCTTCTATCCACGCTGCCATCCTCAGCGCGTCGCTGAACTCGTCGTTGAACTCTTCGTGGGTCGGTACGATTATGGGCGCTTGACTGGGAGCTGTAGCGCTGGCAGTGATGTTCAGATTTGGTGACACCCCTGGCTCAGAATTTGGAGGCGAACCCAGCCCAACCGTGCGTGGGTTCACAAAGGATCCCCAACTGATCGTCCCCGGCTCCGTATCCGAGGGAGGCGTGTGAGTGGACACAAGATGTCCGACGCGGGCTCTAGCTTCCTTGGGACTGGTAACGGGGGTATGACTGGCCCCGTTGGCGTGGCTGAAGAAGTCGAGTGGTGGGCTGAGCGCATGGAGAGGGTCTTCTGGCTTCGACAGAGGTCCAGCGCCTAGGGGAGAGAAGGAGTGGTGTGTTTGCTGTGGGATACGATCAGGGTGGGGCGCAGCAATGCCTAGTACATCAAACGAGGGTAGACGCAGGTTGTGCGTACTCCTAAGGACCGTGGACGTGGGAAGCGAGAAGTTGCTTTGAGGAAGGTTGAGGGTCAGATCAAGCTGCGGCCGGTCCTCGATGGTGGGAGTCCTAAGAGGCTGGGGTAGGGCGGAAGCCAGCGGGAAAGGCTGCGGCAGAGAAGCGTCGAGAAACGAAGAGATATCGTTGGGAACCGCTATATCGGGGCAGGGACCCGCATCTATGCCCTCATCCGGAGTGGGTGGGATGGAGTTGGGCTGGAGTGCTTGGTGGGAGTCTTGGTGAAAGCGAGGAGGGGCATTATCAGCGTCAGATGGCTGTAGAAGATGTGACGAGGACTGGAAGCCCGTCATCATGACCAACGGGGTCTGAGATGTTTGCAGGTAACGCGCACAATCACGCTATGCTGGGTAAGTGGGATGAACAGACGCACAGAGACGTGGCTGAAAGATCTGGCGTCCAGGTACAAACGCGGTAGCGCCGCGGCGGCAGTAACGGCCGCGTGGGAAGTATTGACAGGTGGAAGGGGCTGGCGGTAAACGAGTGGATGGTCGCCTGGGGAAGACGGTCGCTGCGTCCAAGACAGTCATGTAACAGCAGAGCGACCAGGCCAACGCGGTGCGAGGGCCAGGTGGGCTAGGTTGGGTTTGCGGAGTGAATACCCGATGTTCGCTGCGGTTGATGCTAGCGTGTTTTGGAGGCCCAGGGTCTCAGCAGCTGAAATCTAGACCTCGCGGCCACAGCAATTCACACCAGCGAAATGGCCTGACCGCACCCGCTGCTCCCTGCACACATGGCAGCCTAGCTCCATCACCAGCATGCCCATCCATCGCTCCTCACGCTGCCGTTGTTTGGTTGTTCGCAGCGCCGACTGTTCGGTGGGTCGATGCCCTGCTGCACGACAAGCCGGGCTAGTCCTGAAGCTGTTTGATACGAATTGAACGCACACCCATAGGGCTCCCGTGGGGAGCCAGCGTACACGAGTACGCAGTACGGCGCCGCACCCTGCCAATCGCCTCGTCGAACGCAGCCAGTCTCTGCACAGCTCATGGCCAAAACGCACAAGTTTTTAATTCGCTCCACAGTCACCTACCCTCACCAACGTTTTGGTGCGAGCTTACAGCGCGTCTTTGGCATGGGTCTAGCAAGCCTCCAAGCTATCTACCCGCAGTCACACAGTGCAGCCACACTCAGCTGCCGCGACACGCTTTGCCCTACAAGGCGAAGGGCCATGCGAGTCTAGGCTTCCCATCGAGATGTCTCTTTTGGCCAGCGGATTCTTGATTGTCAGCAATCGAAAACCGTGAAAACTTCTTTTTAGCTGGATGCAGCCTAAGTTAATGATCAGCGCCATGCTGCTTGTCACGGGACTTGCCGGCGCACATTTTCATCTCGCCACTACCGAGCTCAGGGTTTATTCCATAGTTTACAAACGTAAAACTTCGCTATTAATTCTGCGACCGATCCACCCGTGCATGGATTGTCAGATGTCAGACTCTGCTTACAAGGTCTGTCCGGCGATGCGCCTTGCTCATTGTCTGCGACCAAGAACCAGCCGCAGAAACGTAAACACCATACCAAGCTTTTGTGCCTGCGGACTATGACAGCCCACCTTGAGCTCTGGGGTCCTGTTGCTTTGGCTTGTTTCCAAGTACCTTCACCTTAGCTCCACGCTCGTCTAGCTTCATTCCATCAAGACACTTCCTCGGTCAACCGCCGCGCCACCATCGCCTTTACGTACTCTTACACTCAAGTATCAAACTATCAACATTAGCACCAACTTAACATCAGTGTGAGACATGAACAACGTACCTGCCACTTCTGCAGTCCCTTGTCCCTTGCTCCTGGCGCACTTGAACTGGATTTCGATGCCATCTTCGGCTCATGCAGTTTCACGTACTCCTGCGCAAGCATAGGACATGCTTTCTTGTGCGCCTTGTAGTGCGCCTTCTGGCAGTCTTTGTTGCAGTACGTTACACTGTGGCACTTGATGCACTGCTTGAGCGTATCCGGAGACTTCCCGCATTGCGCGCACGCCTGAGGCGGTGCGGATGATGATGAGGATGCCGACTCTGGCTGTGTGTTGGGTGTTTGTGACGATGAGGTTGATGACTCTGCCTGTGTGGTAGATGCACCGTTTGAGTTGTTTGCCGAGTCGGCCATCTTCGGAACCGAATGAGCGCGGATGTCTAAGTTGGAGTCGTGATAAATCCCAATTGCGGCTTCAATGTCGATGTGTTTCGCTGCTCTTTACCTCGACAGATGCCAAAAGTTGAACGTGATCGACATTTTGTCCGCAGGGATGCGCCTGAAGCGACTGCGCTAACCCAATTCTGTGATAGCTTGCAAAGCTAGCAGGTGTCCCGAGGTCAGTCGCGAGTGCCATCTACACTGCCATAACATATCCGCCGTGCAAGGGAATTCCTGATCATGTCGCCATTGACGGCAACAATTTATCGCTCCGCTTTCGATGTGACAGATGCTTTTACTCGCATAACGAAATCATTGCCAAGTTGCGCGACTCCATAGAGCCTCGTCTCATCGCTCCTGCCGTCTCAACACTGTCAACACCAGCTGGACGAGGGAAAGAGAGGCCTAACAGGCTTTCACTCCTGAGTCGGTAGGTTCACAATGGGTTCGAGTTTTGGACAGTGTTGTCGACTTTGAGCCTGTGGGTGCTTCATGCACGGTGAAGCATTATAAGAATTGTACCAAGCACTGCAGTACCTCTTCTCCACACTAACATAGCTCGACAACAACCTTCAAGCACTTATTCATAACTCGCACAGAATCCATCATGGGTACCGAGATGTCTCATCAGCAGAACGACGATCATACATCCCAGCCGTCCCAGGATGGCTCACAGAGTTGCGAGATGTGGATGTTCGAACACATAGTTGATGCCATGACACAGTTAAGATCGATATGGACTGAGATCAACGCGCCTCCCCCGGCTACGATCGAGCGATACATAGTGTTGTCCGCCTCCGAAACACTTCACGATTCAGAATGCCCTATTTGCCAGGGGGACTATGACGAGGATCAGCATGTAGCTATCAAGCTTCTAGGCACACATTGCAGTCACGTTTTCGGCCGAGACTGCTTACAATGTTGGGTCAATAGCGGTATGCAAAAGGCCCATTACTGTCCTATTTGTCGGCAATGCATACGTGGCGCGCTTGGTGGACTACCCCCATCGCAGCCAGGCGCCGAAGACGAAGAAGAACATTTCTATGAAGTCTTCTACGACGAAGAAGAAGAAGAACTTGAAGCAGAACTTGAAGAAAGACTTGAAGCAGCATTTGGAGAAGAACTCGAAGAAGAACTCGAAGAAGAACAAGAAGAAGAAGAGGAAGAAGAGGAAGAGGAATGGGAATGGGAATGGGAGGAAGCTGAACAAGTTCTCAGTCCGCAACAGCGTGAACAACGCGATAGGCACTGGGCAAACTTAACCGAAGTCAGCAATATTTTGCAAAACATCGAAACTATCGTGATTCCCCCACTTGAGGGTGGGGGGCACATAGGCCTGGCTCTTCAAGTCGTACGCACTGATCCGACTATTCAGGATGAAGACCGCGCCCTCAGGCAAACACTGACTCGTCTCTGGAATGAAAGCCGTTATCTCAATGAGCTTCTGTGTGTCAATTTCGAACGCAAGCAGGAGGAGCAGCAAAGGGAAATTCTGCGCGCTGAAAGGGAGAGGAACGTACTGCAGGTTGAGATGATGCAGTTTACCGCTAATTTCCGGAGGATGTAGAAGGGCAGAAGAGCTCATGTAAGGATTGATGAGATAGCGAGCTAATCACGATCACGCGATCTGGCTTGTCCCAGTATCCGGGGTAGACATCCCGTATCATTTGGATGCGAAATATCCATACAATAAGCTTAATAATTGCTATCTTCCCATGTTATCGAGGTGTGAACATCTGTCTGTCGAACGATCCCATTGTGAAAGCGTTTCTTGCTGTACTTTTTAGCAAATGCCAGTGGCCTAGAGCAGCGAACCCATTGTAGCTACAACTGTAATTATCACTAAGTATCCGCATCCTGTTCCTATCCAGCCAATCTCTATAATTCCCATAACACTAGAGGACCTTATCCATCGTTTGCGCATCCCTTGAACAGGGATATCCCACATTATCAATAAAACCCAATCGCACCAAAGGTTGATGAAGCAGCAAATCTAACCTCGCGAGCCTATAAACGCAGACTCTACAACCCCATCCTCCCACATCCATCAATACCCCTCAGCGCTCAAACACCCCCCATCCCGGCCACGAAACAGCTGCCTACCTCTCTCACAAAAAGCACTAAACTCCTGTTCCCGCCGCTCCAACGCTTGACGCATCCTTCTCAACTCCCCTTCACGTTGCGCCAAACGAGCTTCGCGAGCATCCAGATCGGCTGAACGACGCTGGAACTCGAGTGACTGGAAAGCATGGGGTGGCGCTGCTCTGTTTTGTTCGCTTGTGCGTGTGGAGTTTGTGGAGTTTGAATCGTCTGGGGGATAGTTGAATTGGGGTCGATGTGGAGGCGCTGGGAATGGGGTGCGTTGCTGGCCGAACTGGAATGGTTGGGGGGTTGGATGAGTGGGATGAGAGGCTGTGTGAGGCCCTGAAGACGCAGACTGAGGCGCTGGTTGTCCGGCTGCCGCCTGCCCTGCGGCGAGTGCGGCGTGGAACTCACGATGTGTGAAGACGGGCTCAGTGCGCCAGTCTCCGCTGTAGCGAGTGTCTCCAGATGCAGTACGTGACTGGGTCGCAGACGGACGGGGCTGACAGGTACGCGCGTAAGGTCGGGGTGTACGTGCAGGCAGTAGTATTGGATTCGTATCTCTCCTGGCAGAATCCGCCATGGTTTCGCCCGCAGGGCCTTCGGGCACGCCCGCGAAGAGGGAAGGAGCAGAGTTACTACCTCTAAGAACCTCTGTGGCCTCTTCTGTCAAACGACGACTACGCGCTGATAGGCTTTCATATTCGGCTCGGAACCATACGGCGCGACATAGCGGACAGAGGTTGGTGTTGTCTTGGGTCTTGCGACGGGCGAAGATCTTCTCGAGGCAGGCTTGACAGAATTCGTGGTTGCACTGAGCGGGCGGCTGGACAACGACGCGCATTGCTTTGTGACTACCGCGATCGTATTCCTCTGTACATATTGGACAGTGGGCGTCTTGTGGTGGGTTGCGCTCACTACACGGCTTCAAGCAACGGCGTATAAATTGGGCACAGGCCAATGGCGGTGTTTCCATGTTGTTTGGTCGTAGCGGAGTTGCTCGTGTATCTCTAAGCGTTGGGGTGTAGAGCCGCCATCGCGGTGGTGTGAGAAGTTGCAGTCAGCTTTGGAAGGAATGAGAGGGTATAGAAGTGGATCCCACGCAAACTTGCGCAAGTCGGAGTGAAGCGCGTGGAATCCTCACGGACGAGTAGAGACGTGTGGAGGAGGGTAATGACGTAGCTTATGCTTGTTGGATGTGACCCAAGAAGATCGCAGAAAACATAAATGACATTGAGCCATCGAGTTCACTGATTACAAAGGAAAGACTCGCAGTCCCTAGCGGGCCCTGCAGTGACGATATGGAGATTATCATGTAGCGTTATCAGCCCAGCTGACCTCCATCCAGACATGCGTACAAGACGGCAACTCCTCCACCTTTGACTACTGTTTCGAAATCATCAACAACTGAAACATGGAGAACCTGTGTGGCAGTCAGTTCACGTTACCTACGTCTTTCGCAAAATACTTACAAGATACCAGCGAGGAAGAGATACACTTTTCCCGCGTCCGCAAAGTAGACCATACAGCCCGATAACAGAAGGTTTGTCGACGCCATGACCACAATTTGGGACATATCTCTTTCCTGCTGAGAGATGTATGCAACAGCGACAGGCACTAGACTCGCAAGCACTGCCGTGAAGACATGGGTGCACTCTCTGAGAGTGCTGTCGTAAATTACTGGACTGCCACCAAACTTAGACTTTTCCAAGAATCTCCCAAAAATTCTGATTATGGTAAGTGACCGCTCGCAGACCCACAAAGTAAAGTAGTCGCTGAATTCGCGGGACTTGAGTGAGATCAGGTCCGTAGCTACATGTCCATGGAACCGATCATATTTGACACAGTCTTCAGGAAGGCCATAAAGAGGTTTGTGGTGAAAAATCCAGTTATCGCGTGTAGCGCGAGACACGTTGTAGGATTTAATCTGGTCGAGATCAAAATGATCGGGCACTGCGATCTTGGCGAGCATATGTTGTCGCAGAAGTGCTTCTTCTATACAAGTGTTAGCGCCACAGTCCCACAGATTGAATGATAAGTTTACCGTATTTCTCAAGCTTCTCACGAATCTGCATGATGATATGATACTGCTTGGGCTGTGGTTCGGCGGAATCCTCCATTGTATTCCAAGCCCAATCTGTGGCATATTTTTTGGTGATGCCACCTTTTCCCTCTCTGAAATTGGTCATCACATTACGAAGCTTCCACTCAAGATAGTCGATCTCTGATTGCATGAAGAGGAGATTCTGCACGCCGAGCGTTCGGAAGGTACGGAAAATAGCCCGCTCAGGCACGCGAGCCATGTATTCAGCCAGCCGTGGGATGCCAGCTGGAGAACTCTTATCCCAGTCGGCGTCTTCATCCGCGTCATCAGAGTTGTCGGGCTTTAGGGCTTCCTCGACGTTGTCGGCTTCCTTAGGGGGATTCAATTTGATTATGTTGTAGTCTGCCGTCTGCGGTGCAGTATCGCCATGTATCTGACCAGCAGGCACTACGACAGACGAATGCGCTTGCCGAAGCACAGATTGATCTGCGTCTGCACTTGCGAGGCTCACATGAGGCTGTGGAGAGTAATCCGGGGTGTGACGAAGCGGAGGGTAATCCGGGTGTGAGGGGTCCGAGACCGGGAGCTCGTCCACAGAACGTTCTGAATCAGGTCCATCGGATGTAGCTGGTCGGATAGGTCCATGTGTGGTGTTATCGACATGGTCGAGATTTGGGGTTGAAGATGTAGACATGGTAACTATCTCTTAGTAACGGATACAATCAAGGATTCTCTTGTAAATGGGGGAACTTATGCTGGAAAGAAAGATAGCCTGCCGGAGCTGTTCTTATATGAACGAAGTACGTCGCAAACGCACCAGTATGACAATACCATTGAAGCAGTTCAGCATGCAGATGACCGCAATTAATAAGAGTGATGATGTCGGCGTAGATTCCATGGTACCCGCGAGAGCCTTGTGAATGTACGCACTACAGGTGTGCCCAGCTGTTGTCACGGTTAGGGCTCTGACAAACCGATATTAGGCATGTGTGAAGATACCTTGCTTCACGAAATCTTGTGCCGTCGAGGATTCCTGTCTTGTAACGCATACATGCGTCGTTCGGTCCGTCCTGTGGACACATCCGGCTCCACTGTTTATGTTGGCGGTTCGATCAGTCGCGGCCTTCTGAGTCTGAACAAAGACTTCCGGAGGCCATAAAACTGCTTCAATGATAAGTAAACAGACCGACTTCACACAACCAGATGTTGCCGGTATAAGTACGCCGCTTCAGCGTCAGACACTTCCATCACGCCGTGCTATCACGATTAGTTTGAGGCCTCTTCCATAAGTCAGTGAATACGGATGGTCCTGCATAACCATATCACCATTGCGGTTGCACACTGAAGAACGTGGCAGAAGGCAGGTGAAGCTCGATGAAAAATGAGGTAGGCTGCGGCATCTGACCACTGACGTTTGCCTATTAACGTAGCTTCTTGCCCGGGTTGCATTGATAATGGCAGCTGAAGTAATACTGTGCACGTTCGCGGCTGTCCGGAAACGAAAGAAGAGTCTGAGGTGGTGAAGCGTGGATAGAAGTTATCGATGACATCATATGTGCAGATTGGGCAAGAGCTACCCAACCCAGCCACGTGCCACCCTCTTCACCTTGTCTTGAGCATCGATAACTTGTCACATACCACAGTCAATCACACTATTAATCCTCCAGTCACCTAACTGTTGTAGATGCCAATTTCAGGCCACATGCACCTGCACTGAAGTCCACTGCACTACTAGCAATCTGCCTACCTCGATATCTTTACGTCCCCACGTCAGCGCTTTCCATATCACCGAGCGCTCAAAATCTGCCGGGGACGGACTTCGCAAAATGTCCGCTGTAAGATAAATGATATGCGCGATGACCGGAATGAAAGGTGTCCTAGTAGGTGTCAGCCCACGCGAAGTCCGACGCGCTTTCAGTACACGGAGCCTTGGCGACTACATCGGTTCGAGCGTGATTCCAAGACATACGTAGACCACGGAACATAGCTGAAAACGTGGAAGGGGTGTTTCTGAGTGGCTTGTGAACACACGTGTCGTTACAGACATATAACGGGTTGTACTGGATACGCGTACAGCGCCCTGCTTGGAGTAGCAGAAGGCGTCTGAGAGGCGCAAACTCAGTGTACTCCGTGGCTTGCTTTATTCAGGAGAAATCTGCGGGTTTACGCGTCATGATTCTGTCCTCTTTCCGTCCAGCCTCAAATTGACGCGTTCGAAAGCTCCGGAGAAGTATAAATCCCATCCTCCTCATCTTGTCCCATCATCTCATCAACCACCACACTATCCATCACTTCAACCCCCATCATTCCCACTATGAAGTCCCTCATCCTCCTCCCCCTCCTCCCCACCTCCTTCGCCCTCGTAGCGCCCCTCAAACGCCTCACTCCCGACCTCCACCCCCGCGCCGCACACTGGGGAACGAAGTCCTGGTCCGGTACTCATACCATCACCGTAACAACAACTGTCACTGTCACCGTCACCGCCTTCCCCTCCGCCAACCAAACCTTCCCCAACATCACTACTACGGACGTGAGCGCGCCGGCGACTACCAGCGATGATTTTGCGCCGATCACGTTGATCACTTTGCCTACTGAGGTGGCTACGACTACGGAGTCGAGCGATGGTCTGGCGCCCTTTACGTTGATCACGCTTCCTTCGGCTACAGATGGAGGGGATGCGGCTGCAGCGCCTACGCCGAATGATCTTGAGCCCATTACGTTGATTGATATTAGTGCTGTTACGCCTATTTAGATGGGTGTGGGATGAGGTAGTAGGGGCGATAGAGGAGGGTGTAGGGTTTGGTGGTGAGGTAGCATGGTCGCAGAAATCGTGGGCGAAAAACTGCTGAGTTTGTCTCGAGGAAGGGGTTTGTTTTGGTGTACATATTGTCTTGCTATTGGTCTTGGGACTCCACACTCTTTTGATGTATCGATTCAGTCGCTCGTTTTGAAATCTCGTTCATGTGCATGATTTGTGTTGGTAGTTTGAGTTACGTCTGGGGTGTTTAAGCAACAAGTATCAATGGAATGGTAGCTGGACTGAGGGGCATAAACCAACTTTCTGCTTTCTCATACCGTATCAAGTATCGACCTGAAGCGTTCCTAGAAGAAGACTGAGGCCAAGAAGTCATGCCGTCGCCGTCCCGCAACTCATGTTTGGAACGTCGTCAATGACAGCTCTCAAACAGTTCCGTCGCGCTCAACCGCATACTGCTGCTAACCTTACTTCCCCTCCGCACATGCTTCGACGCAAATGCCCTGTCATACGTTAGCATTTCCTTCCAACACACGACATTACTGGTTCACTTACACATCCCCAACAATCTTTCTCAAAACTAGACTATCCACCCACTCGCCCTTGATCTGCGTCTTCTCCTTCGTCAGGCTATGTCTCTCAAACCCCAGCCTCTCCGCCAACTTCCAACTCCCCTCGTTCCTAGGATCACACTCAATCTCCATCTCCAACTTCCCTTGATTCTGCAGTCTTTCTTTCAGCGCATCAATGAAAGCCGTCATGGCTTCTGTAGCGTAACCCTGACCTTGCATTGACGGCAAGAAGGAGAACCAGAGTTTGGCGTGGGTAACAGGCTTGATGGTATGTTCACCTGGAAGGGAGTCGGAATTTGCTTGAGATGTTTTGGCGCCGACGCGGCCGATGAATTGTTCGTCGAGCGTCTCGACAGCGAGTTCGTACTTCGTTCGTGGCACGTCGTTGTGGTTGCGGATGTTTTCCAAGACGAGCTCACGAGCTTGTTGGCGTGTTCGAGGGGGCCACTCTTGGTAACGTGCATTTTGCTCGTTTCCTTCGAGAAGAAAGTAGCCTTCCTCGTCTTTCATCACGAACTCGCGAAGGAGCAGACGGGGTGTCTTTATGGCACCGAAGCGCTCGCCTTTCACGTTTGCGCGAGCGATGGCTGCGAGTTCCTCCTTGGTAAAGGCACCAGAGGCTTTGAGAATCTTCTGAATAACATTTCCCTTGGCGACCATGTAGTCAACGATGTTGTTTGCTTTTGCCGCGAGTTCAAGCTTCACCCGCGCGTACTCATCCCTCAACTCGCAGTCAGAGCGTAGCGTATCTCGCAGGCTGAGGTGGTTGCGCGTTTGTGCAACACCGTCAACACACAAGTAGACGTTGTGGCGATTGGATTGGTTCGGGTCTTTAAAGGCATGACGGTCCACGATCCCCAGCTCTCCAAGGTAGTCGAACTTCCCTTTCTCGATGAGAGCGTCGATAGCAGGCTGGACATTGTCGCGAGTGACTATGATGTCAACATCGATGATAGGTTTGGCGACAAGTCCCGGTACTGATGTACTACCCACGTGCTCGATCGAGAGGTAGTCGATGTCCTGTAGGTGATGTTCCAACTCCGACTTGATATTTTCGAATTGCTGCGGCCATTCCTTGTTGTATTGCTCGACGATGACGGACATACTTGACGATATAAGGGAAGCGTATAGTAAAGCAATGATTGAGTCGATAGCGCCTGGTTTGGGTTGAACAGGTGAATGTGTCGGCTAAACCTACCGAGCTTGTGGAACGCTCTCGCTTCTCACCCGGGCGCGCCCGAGGGGTGCAGGAGCAAGAATGTCGGTGTAACAAAAAGCATGAAAAGAGCGCAGAGACAAGCAAGATAGCGGAAACCCGAGATTGAGGTGGTACATAGAGCCAAGATGCCGCTTGGGCGCAAAGGGCGAATGCAACGCGGAGATACGGGCAAGACTCCGACCCGCTTGTATTGATTGCGCTCCAGCCTCCAGACTTGTTTGAACTAATCATACTCTTCAATCTTGATCACAGGTATGTCTGCGTATGGCGGAGGCGCATCTCGGCCCAACAGAGCAGTCTCGGCCTCAGAGTCTGTGCCAGGCTTTTCCTGCTGTCTCTGCAGAAACAGGCGACGTGCCATGACGAGGCTAGCCGCAAGCAGTGCAAGGAGCGGGAGAAGTAGGGCATCCTTTCCAACCTGTATTCTGCCAACAAAAGCGTTCCAGGCCCTCGACAACGTGCCAAATCTACCGTACTCGTCCCATTCACGTGGGTCAAATGTTGTTTGCATCATGGCCAGCTTGCCACACTTCATCCTCGGCGGTGGCATCTTGCCCTTTGCGGAGACGACTAGTACTTCTTCGATGGAGAGTATATATCCACCTTCCATATTCTCATCGTGTTCCTTGCGCACCAAGATCTGAACAATCCTCTGACCCAACTTGATTGGCTCAGCGGTCTCTCCCCAGGGCAAGCCCGTCACATTGAACTGAAGCCACCAAAGCTCAGGCTCGTCAGCGCGGAAGATGGTATGCTCGTATTGTAGGGGAAATATTATCCTGCTATGCTTGTTCGGATTTGAGGCGTCTTCGGAATCCGCATCCGTCTCTTCCTGCTCCACCTCGGTGGTGACCTGCTTCGCGTTTATGTTGAGAGGCATGGGATCGAGAGGGAATATGCGCTGATCGTTGAGAAGTAACGCATCGTTAAATTCGTCCAAAACGAACTTAAGCAACTGATCACGGTCAGTCGCATTCACTCTTAGGGCTGTAGAGTGCACTTACTAGAGAATTCCTCGGTGCCGGATGCAGCCATTCTGCCTTATGAGGACTCGTCCAAGCACGCAGCGGGCATCCCACGCATTCCAGCTTCACCGTGTATTCCCGGCCAACCTCATCTTCAGTGACTTGACTATAGTCCGATGTTGT